TACATTTTTTGTTGTTGTTCACCAGGTTGTTCACCCTTCTTGTATAAAAAAATAAAGATATTTATTTTAGGTGTTCGAAGTGCCGGTTTATTAGGTTCTACCATACCTAAGTGAATTCATTCATGCACATGTCTATCTAATAGCTATAAAAATCTATAAATCAGTAAAATTGATTAGAAAAACTCACAGGAAATAAAGGGGTAATTAAAAATGTTAACAAACAATGCTAATCTAGTCCACTAATGACCTAAGAACCAGGTAATTTACAGAAGGTGTCATTATAGAAAAATGCAGTAAATGCACTGAATAAGTAATTTACTCAATAGTAAAAGAGATAGGCATTTGTGCATCTCCGTTCAAATATTGTACAGCTTTTCGCTAAACTTGTTTACATAATATTAGTCCTTGACCATTATACATGGTCTATTGTGTTTAACAATAAATGAAGAGAATATGTAAAATTGGAAAGGATAGAGAAACATCGTTGGTCTCACTCAAGGAGTAGGTACATCGTCTAGAGATGTGTATTGTTGGTGGTCTAACCCCTTGCAATAACATTGAAATACAAATTGACTACAGGGTGCGTTTGCACGCCATGGTGTAAGAAAAGTGAACTAAGAAGTATTTTTTAAATATTCGTTGCTTTGTGCTGCCATCCCGAATCCGCGATCCCTATTTGTACTTCGTTAGGTCGCTGACACTCGCATACATTCGTCTTGAGATAAAATTAAAAATAGTATTTTGCTTATCTTTGGTTACCACGACCACCTGTAACTGTAAATATCGTTCCATAACTCTAAAAAGGGAATTTAGTGATCTTGCGAAATAAATTCTACCTAAAAATACTTATTTACCATAATATGCGGTTTTGTTCAGTAATTCAATTGAATGCCAATAACAGTGCCTAATTGTAATTCCTGAAATGCCATTCAAAGTTGGGTTATGTTATGGATTATGTTTACCTGATTTTCTATTAACTGCAAAATAACAAAAAAAACCAGTACCTACCTAGGTAAGTAAAGTTGAGGATCTTTATTTTAATATAGTTCTATTAATGGATTGTTTTAGGCTATCCTTCGACTGTACACATTTCCGAAGATTGACTTCCGACACCGAGTACATTTTTTTCCGATTATCATTTTACCGAACAATGTCATTGCAGTGCGTTTATATAAGGCCATCGGTCACATCATGGTCAGAACACGGTGCGGTCAATTATTGTAACCGTGTATTTCTGTACTGTTCATGTTCTGACCGTAACCTGACCGATAATAATGTGAATCGGCCTTAAGGAATACTCAGCCTTTATGATCACAAAGGACAATCCACGCAATATTTTTAGGAAAACCAGATTTGCAAGTCAGCAATACTAACTCATAATTGAATGTTATTTGTTTGGGTGTGAAATCATATTTTGATATAATACCGATAACATTGAGATCCTTCACTCAACGATTGAATTATTCAATGCCGATAGTATGTAGTTCATTCAAATTATGGGAACCAAGATGGCATCCAATCGGTGGGGTTTCGTTATTATTAATAGTGCTTAAATTTAGTTGTAAGTGACGTGTACATTTATTATCGAATAAATATATAATCTTCAGTTACTGATTTCTTGCAGAGTTGTCTGATAGCACTTCCGAGGTGTAAATACCATCGTACAAGTCGACAGTGCTATTAGATAGCAACTTGGGCGAGAGTATTCTTGCCCATAAGTAGCGCTTCGTCTGGTAAACGTAAGCAGTATTAACACTGTATTATCAATTCAGAAACACCATCCCACATAACCTCTTTTTGTTGTAAGCTCTGAAATTTTTATATTAATTAATTATAACGTAGAGTGAAAAATCCCATGATCCTAAACTCAACGTTTATAAATACTTCTTTTGCCAGTTTCCTAACCCAAATTTTGAATGTAGGTAACGTTAACCAGTGTAATTCCTACTTATGGTACGGTTTTTTGCTGGATACATTTTATCTGCATTAATAACCAACAAAGCCAATAAAGGAATAAGTTATACTGTTAAAAAATAGATACATTAATACATTCCAATAAGTACTCCAGTTTAAATTTCCCGCTTTGTAAGAATAGTATACCGTAGCCATCTTAGTGGATATACGTTGAACTACACTGAGCACAGATTTCTTTTCTATAATTGTTTTACGAGTTATTATTCAAGTGTACGGAGTTCATACCGTTTGTGCTTTAGAAACCACATATTATCCATTTTTACATCACGTTTTATTCCTTATATGTTCAAGAATCTGGAGAAACAATTTATATTTCAAAAACTTCTTTGACCTTTGAATTATACACAAAAGGTTGCCATTGTAATCGAACGTCTACTTTATACACTTTCAGAGAATGAGCTATGAGTTTTAATGCAATATAAACCGTTCACTCATAATTTACATACATTTAAGAACAAGAAATAACAAACATTTCCGAAAAAAAATGTATATTTTTTAAAAACGGTATGAATTCCGTTAGGCATGTTTCCCATAAGAAAGCTATTGTGAGATAGGCAACACACAATACTGATAGCGCGCCCTTAGCCGAATCACAGACAACTATATGTTGTCTGTGGCCGAATTGACATTTCTTATCTACATTCCCAACTAATGACACTACACACAGCTACAACACTAGGAACGCAAAAAATCTGAGGATTCCATACTTTAGACTTTCCAAATCCAAAAATAATAGCCCCCGCATAGATTTCTATAATGTACTACCACTGGCTGTGAAGCAGTTACCTTTCATTAAGTTTAAAAATTTTATAAAAAATCATTTTTTAGCTTATTGTTTCTACTCCATAGAGGAATACCTCAGTACACCTATTGTTTTTAATTTGTGATTTTAATTTGTATTTTTATTTTTAATATTGTTAGTTTTTTATGAATTTCTTTGTCTGTTTGTACTTTTCATTGTATACTATTTATTTATGCTGTAATTTGACCTGTCGCAAGCACTGAATGTGTTATTACGACAAAATATACATTACATTACATTTCCATTTTTGCCGTGCGGCGTTGTCGCACGGCGAAAATCGACCTGTGTAAACCCCGTATAAGACCCAATATAAAATTTTCTTCATTTCTAAAATGTCTGAATTTATTTATTTCCGATATACGTTTTTGTGTTGCTGTCGATCGTACCAGTTCTTGCGATTTAAATCGATTGTGTTTAATTTTTACCTGTAAAAGGAAGAGGGGCTCCTTAATTTTCTCTTTTCGTAATAAGTAGATAGACCAAAATTCAAGAGAGTTATTACAACCCCCATCAATCATCATTATTAGCGTAACCAAAAGCGATTTCTTTCGTCTACTTCGCAATCATGATTTCAAGATCGTGATTCGTAGGATCACGTTTTACGAAAGAACGCGCGAATTTAAATCAAAGTATGGTTAAGTTTACGTAGTACACATTTGCCTTCGAATTACGTATTTTTTGTTTGGATTATGAAAATAATTTAAATAAAAGTGCTCCTCTTCGGTTACAAATATTGACTAACCTAACACTTGAGTAAAAATATCCTTGCATTTATAGGTTAGAAATTCTTAATCATAAAACTTTTATGTTCAGTTTGTTCACGATTTTAGCAATCATGATTATAAGATCACACTTCGAAAGAACGTGATTTGACAATCCAAACGCGTTTGGATTACCGAAAGCATTGTTGAAAACATCAATTTTCAATTGATTACTGCACTGTTGCTTTCGAACTTCCTCGGTGGTTGACGCTTCCGCTTCAGAAGTGATAACTTATTGCCAAATGGTGGTTTTTGATCGTTCACAGTGAGGGTTCAGCATCAAATCTCCTATCTACTACTCCTCCCCCTGAATCGATGGTCCTGATTCCATTAGACCGATCATCAAATTGACCGACATCTACCGTTTCTGAAAACCGCCTTTTCAATGAAACGTCTTACCCCCAATCTCCGCTTCGTCAACACCATCCCTTCACAGGACACAACTCATATAAAATGTTCGATGAGCCATTGTTCTGCGATTCGTCGAATATGCAAATGCATGGCATCGCGTTTCACACCAATTCCTTAGGATTTCCTCAATTGCGTTCGTTTCCAGCTACTTTTCGATGCTTTTGTCCTCTAATGCTAATTGCACGCGGAAATACAATTACTGAATTCACGGGCGTCGAAACACAATTTTTGGTCGTCTGCCATTTGACTGAAGAAGTCGCTAATGTCAGGCTGTCATCTGTCATGATACTATTTTTTATAGGAATATCATGGCAGCTGTACTTCAAACTTGTCAACCAGTGACGTCTTTAGAAGCGCGGGAATGCGTGTGAGAGTGCACACAGCTTAAATTTAAATAGTAGGTAAATAAGCTGTGAAACTTGGCGCAAAGCCGCAAAATGGCCGCCGAACTCAACGACCAATCAAAAATTAGACACTATTGTCGCCGCTGTCCAAGGTTATTTCTAATAAAACAACCTTGGCCACTGTCTCTATAAAGTCAACTGTAGTATATTCTAATGACATCTCTCATTCTTATTTTAAATGTCACGCGTAGCATGATGTAAAGGTGGGAATAGACGAAGCAAACGTTGTGCAACAGTAGAACAACAGGTAGGCAACTGTTGGCTAACTTAGGGGAGAAAATATTTCAATATAAAGAAATTACCACTGAAATACCTATGGTGTGTAAACCAATTGTACATCCTCAATTTGGAGTGGACAATGCCCACAATAGCCCCCCTCCCCTCCCCTCTTCTAGCTACAGGTCCGGCACTCGGCTCGTCTTTGGGCACCTTGTCACTTGTGTGATATATAACATAAATATAATTGACATAAACGCGTTACATACATGCCTCTTTGCAAAAAGAAAACAAAGATAACAAATATGTTTATTTGGATAAGGTATTTCTTATATACAATTTCAGATTTATAATTACGCATAGGTATATAAAAACTAAATTTTATACAAATTCCGGACATATTATTTAACAGTTCCTTCTAAACTCAGAATTACCTAAAATACCGACATACTTACGTTTTAGACTTAATAACTGCTTTGAATTTAATGACAGTTTGTAAATTTGGAATTCAAAGAAAGTATTTTATTTACGCAATAAGATAATAAACCAATTAAAATACGAATCTAATAAACAAGGTTAGAATATAATTTATTAGTATCATTTTTATTTATAAGTACCAACAATATAAAAATTGCTTTTTTTATAGTACATTGCTTACACTTACTTGATTTAACATATATGCTTACAAACAACCACCTACCTACATAAAAATATATGTACACGTACATACATAGATTAGTGTACCTACCCCAGCCAGTTAGTAATATCAAATATGGGTGTAAGGTATACTATAAATAAATAGTCACAGCTTTCAATACATGTATGTTTGTGCTACAGCTACATTTAATACCTTAAAGACTTTCTTTACATATTTAATGTACATTGGCAATAGGCACACAAATTATATTGTATGAATTTAGAACTTTAACGTTCATTCAGTCACACATAAATGTTAAGTAGGTAATGTGGGTATAAATTGAATATATATTACTAAGTTCTTGGTCAGAGTATTTAGAAAAACTAGGAAAAATCTGTACACATACATTGAGGAATATTGCAGGTAATGATAGTGTTTCAAAAGACAGTTTTAAATTAATTGAGTATAGGTAGGTATAGTACCTATATGCATATTACCTACTATTAGTACTTCTGATGGGGGCAGTTTTACAGTGTGTCCCAGGTAGAACGCACAATAGGGAAACGGCAAGGCAATGTATTTTTACGAGGCCGTTGAAACTAGTGTTCAACGTACTGCTCCAATCTTGTTCTACCATCAGGCAAGCTGGCAAGCGCAATAACGTCAAATACATATCAACGGCCTCGTAGATCCTGCGCGGTAAAATACATTAATTCTGTCTGTTGTGCTCAACCTGGGACACACGGTATATTGTTGAGTAGTGTTTATAAATTACACCGTGTAGAGGTGTTTAGATGCAAGAAAACCATTGAATATCTAGGAAACATTTAAATGATATTCAATTATTCACTTTGCTCCACTGAATACTTACACCATCTTTGAATAGTGTGTACTTTTTGGTCAAGTAAAGACGTAAATAAAAACAGTCACCAGGCTTTGGTTTTATATGACATTCACGCAAAATTTACTGTATTTATCATATTTATTTGCAGATGTCTCAATGATTGGCAGTTTAATATATGCCTAGTAATGGACATACTTAATGTTCTCCTTCTCTTTATCTGTAAATTTTGTGTTGATTATCTATTTTGAATATTCGTTAATGGCATTGAGAGTGGAATGACAGAATATAAATGGATTTTTATGTAGCAAAATTTTTGTGTATGACATTTTTAATCATTTGAAATTCTATTCTGTTAAATCGTAATACCTGTTGCGCACATTTTATGTAACAAGGAAACAAAACCGCAAAATTGACCAAGTAAATTTTTCCACATAATCTAAAAAAAAACGTTAAAACGGATAAATAGTTATGTTTTACATAATGGATTAATAATGGCTCTTTTGTTTCGATCGGCTGTGTAGATAAAACGTGGTGACTTTACAATCTGTAGATAAGTACTAATAATGTTATTTATTTAGGGAAACATGTAAAGCTATTACATCAAAAATACTTTTAAACTAATTGCATATTTGTGTAATAATATTTACATTTAAAAGCTAACACAACTCTCATATTTATTCTAAATATATAAAAATATCCCAATGACAATCTTGTTTAACATGTATCTAATATACCTTTATATTTATATGTAAAAGCAAATTCACTTAATAATTACAATTATCAACATATCGCAATCATAATCACATTTTTCCTACGTAGTGACCATACGTAGCTCTTTCCTTGGTACCTACCTACCCAAAAAATACTACTTTGAAAATAATCTTTCAGTAGGTACACAGGAATTGAAAACAATAATGCCTATATGTCATATGGATTTAATATTACAGAACCACAGTTCTCACAAAACAGTTTTGATGTATTTCCATCATTATTCCTTGATGCCCAATCAGTCTTTACGAAGAGTGGATGCAAACAGTTCATTTGTAAATTAATTCGCTATTTACTTTTACTAAACAGCCCGTTTTGTTTCAAAGTATGCACCATAAAATGTTTGTTGATAACACAAAAATATGAATTGTGTTTATTTTTGAAACCGCAGATGATGCCAAAGCACTTGCTGCAGTCTTCAAACAATCTTCGTGTTCGTGATAATCGATTCTAGTAATTGCACAGTAGTGATTATGCGCACAGCTAAGATCGCATAAATGAATTTGGCTATCATTGTGTATTCGTACTGAGTTTGCTTTATAGTACCTGTAACAAAATAAAAAATTAGGTAGGTAACGGTAGTATTGTCCACATTGAATACTTTATAAGCCCGGCCCGTGTGGCGCAGTTCAGTTAAATCTGGACTGTGGTGCTAAGGGTCCCTGCTTCGAATCCGGGTTCGGGCATGGATATTTCTAAATGTATAGTGGGTTGGGTTGGTAGAGCAGCCACTCAAAAATAAAGGTAAAATAAAATAAAAATAAATAAGCTTTACTTTGTCTTTCTTACAGACCCTCTAGATCCAGTATAAGACCGTCAGCAATCAGTGACATCGCTGAAGCTTACAGGCGAAGCAAAGGGGTAAAATGTATGTAAACTATTCCAGGAGCAGTTGTAGTTGTATGGGCATATATAGGGTGAAAATGTTGTCTGGAACACTGAATGAAACATTTTTTTTAAAAAAGCGTTTTATGATAGGTATCCATAACTATAAAAACTTTGCTGCCCATAATTTAAAATTGTCGTCAGTGGTGCACGTGTGCAGAGTCAAGGGGGACACTATTTTTTATTACTTTTTAGGCTGCTATATCCAAAAATAAAATATGTAATGAAAACTAGTATGTCCCTTTTGACAAGGCACAAATAAATATAAAGAAGTACGTAGATTGGTAGCAAACCTTTCATGCTTTTGGATACTTTTTTTGCAAAACATGTAGTTTTAAAGACACCTATATACAGGGTGAGTTTTTTTTCATTTTAAGCATTGGGATCTCGGAAACCATAAGACGTACGGATTCGGTTAAATGAGAAAAGAGTTGTCGTTTTAAGAGCTTATTCAAGATATGCTTTTGTTTTTTTAAAAAATCCACAGTTCACGAGATATGAGCGAAAAACAGATTTAGTGATTTTTCATTTAACTGTTGTAGAATCGTTAGTATTAGAAATACAGAAATATGCACAGAACAAAAAGTGTAGATTTTTTTCCGCTTAATAAGATACATTTATTAATACATATTTATTCTTCTTTTATAATTTTTGAGTTATAACGCAAACTTACATTTTTTTAAATGGTAATCATAGTTGGCTGTGACATTTTTAAAAAGTGCATTTGTTTTTGTTTACAATGATATAAGGTTTTTAGGTATTTTTTTAAGGTATTTTCTTCATTTATGTATTGAATAGATCAAATTATAGTAGAATGTCAGGTGCACATGACCTACAAATAATTGAAGGTTGGTTCACAATGAAATGTGGTGTCAGCGCGTGCCCTGTGAGGTCAAGTTATCGTAAGTTTCAGACAAATTTATCCTAAAGTTGCTATGACCTCACATGGCTTCTTTTAAAAAAATCTTACGGAGTGCTCTTCATCATGAAGATAGAAACCGTTGCTGTTCATAGTCACGCAAGTTGCGCGTTTTGCTGGTGGAAATATGAACCGCGCACACCTCATAGATTGATGCTTTTTTTTTAAATTGAACATAGGGAAATTATATTTCATACAAAGGCGTATGTTCGCATTTAAAAAAAACTCACTGTATATAGCTAAACCACAGAGGTAAGCGAAACGAAATTACTTGAAGTTCTTAGACATATACTACACCTCATTGAATAAAAAATTAAGACCATATCCACTATGGTAATGAGTGCTCTTTGCTCATACATTTGATTCCGTAGTCCACATTCAAAGCCAAAGCTCATACCATTGTATGATACTATGACGTCGGCACTTCCTTACTAAATAAATAGAAATCGATTCGAGTACCTACCTACAGTGGCGGATTTAAATTTTTTGCACCCCTAGGCACACCAAAAGATATGCGCCCCAAATAATCTTTAAATTGCAATACATTTTAAAATAAAATTCAAATTATAACATGAAATTTTTAAAACTAATATGAAAAGAAACTATCTACCAATTCTAATTTATTTCATAATTTTATTACATTTTTGTCATTTGTAACTTGTTAACGGACTTATTTTAAAACTTAAAATGTTACCTAAAATAAATATAATGCAAAAAAAATGCCGCCCCCTAAAGCTGCCGCCACTGCCTACCTATCTACTTATTTCTATCTTTACGTAGGTACTCTGTCTATACCTACTTTTTGAAAGGAAATTATACACAAACCGGCAATAAACGCCAATTTAATAATTTAGTGAAACAGATAAACGTAATTACCTACCTTGTAAAGGTTGGGTTGTCGCTTGGAATACACTGCGTTAGTTTTTCAGCTAAATTATGTAGTGAAAGGGGCGTAATGTTGGTAATTCCATAATATGAACTGAAATTGTACTCCACGACCCATTCCGCTTCTCCTTTTTTATTGGCACTGGATAAATCCAGATAATACTGGGTATAGTCGAATACCTGAAACAAAGACGTTTTATGATGTGTTTAATAAATTTATAGGATTCATTACGTATATTAAAGGTCCCTTTTCACATAATTATTATCCTCACATGCTTTAAGCTATTCTTTGCTATATTTTCGACCAACGTGAATAAAGCTTCTTGACTTTATTACAGCATAAACACAGTTGGATATTAAATATATTGCTTTTGTTGTATTTTGAATAGACTTAATGTGTTAATATAAGGTAATATTTTATTATATGTATAGACAATACGCTTGATGACACCACTCATATTTTTCGTTTTTTCAAGATTTGGTCGTAAAAACTTAGGTCCTTGAATTGATCATTAGCACTCTGTAACGTGTAGGTACAAAATTCTAGGGCTGAAATAAGAATCACACTTTTGTGAAGTAATGATCAATTTTCACACAAAATATGCCGACGGCGACTACTAGCTCAATGTTACGAATCTTTATTGCAATTACCTTCGAGAACAGTGAGCCTTTTCTGGTATACCTACCTAATAAATTTTGAACTCGCGAACACTCCTGCTCTACCATTTGGTTGCAGTTAACAAAAAAATTAAAAATATCAAAACGGTTACATATATTCAATGAAATTAGAATCCAAACTCCGCTTTCGTTTACATCCCTCCTAATTTAAATTTCATAAACTCAAAATCCAGTACTAAAATCGTACGCATTCTACCTAAGTGGCCACTCCTTTATTAACCCTTTTTTAAATACTAACGATTAGGGGGCGGATTGTTAGGTGCTACAAATTTACAAAATACTTAATTTTTATGTGTTAAAGTATAAATAAAATATCTATTTACTAAAAAGTTAAAAATATTTTGATCATTTTCACGAATCCAGACACATTCCAAAAAAAAGAAAAGATTTTTTCACCAATAGTAGTTAGAAGCAATGGGTTTCTTTGGCGTTACGTAATCGCATTAGCCATCTAGCTCGAGTTAGGAAGCTAAATATTATGAAAAAGAAGGCACCAACCATTTTTTTATCATTTTTATTATACCATGCACCAACCGCACCGGTATCAAATATAACAAGTTAAAAAGGTAATCGTAAACGATTTACAAAACGCGCATTCATTTCCCATTTGTATAATGCAGTTTGTGTTAAAATTTTGTAAAAATCCGTTCTACTTCAATTTCAGTTTATAAGAAGAATGCCATCTTTAATTTTAGAAGAATTGGTTTACAAATAACGAATGTGGGTCTGGGCATGGGTAATAATTATTGTCTTCCGTGTTTTTAGTCGGATTGCGCCTGCGCAAAACAAATTTTTTGATTTGGCATTAGATGTACCTTTATTGGAGGTGCTGACATACGAAATTCCATTTAAATATCTTAACAAATACAAAAAATTGGATTGCAAAAATACAAACGTGGACAAACTGCACACCGACAAACAGACGGACGGACAGACAGGCGGATACAGACAGACGGGCGGATACAATCAGACGGACAGACAGCAACAAAATTGTAGATCGTTAATAAAAGGCAAGTGTAAAATTATGGAGGTACCTACATGAAATGACGAATTGATTTTTTACAATAACTTTCTTCTTAAGCGACACAGAAAAATTCCTTCCTTGGTGCAAACCTCGACACCATCACGATAAGTTGACATCTCAAAATCCGCACATCTTTGTAAAAAGAAGTCACATGTTATTATTACATTATACATATACTATTTAAATTTAGCAGTATAAGTATGTAATCACGGGTGGTAACTACTGATATGTTATCGTATGATTTTATCGACTTCTATTTGTGAATAATATATCGTTACCTCCATGGAGATTGACAAGAGAAATAAAATGTTGAAGAGAAGGTTTTGCTTCGATTGGGATTGTCATAAACTCTAAGTAGATTTGAAAGTAAATGCAGTTATTTTCTTATTTGCGTCAAAAAGAAAATGTGTAGATTGATCTTGTCTCAGAGAAAATTTCATATAAGTCGCGAAGAGTTTTAATATGCGAGAAGCTTTATTGCGAAAAACATTTTACGTAAAAGAATCCGGGTCGCATTTTCTTTGAGAACGCGAATTGTGTGTACCTTAAACAGAGTGACGAATTCATTAATAATTCCGAACAGCTTCAGATTTCAGATTTTTGGCGCTCTTGGCAGCGTAACAATTTGGCATTTTACCAAACGCTAAACACTAACTCGATCACACTGCTGTCTGACAAGTTCATTTTTTCTAATGTGCTGTCGAAGCAACATTATTTCTCATTTTTAAACTAAATGGCTATTTGTGTATTAAGAGCGCAAAATGATATATTGTCGATTGAAAGAGGCAGTTGTAGAGCGACGAAGGAACGCGGCAATCTCTTGAAATCGACAATCAATTTGCACTCGAATTACACACAAGATTTTTTCCTCAATCGAGCAGTTCACATATTCCAAAAATTTTAATTTTTCACTCAATTCATAGATGTCATTTACTCGTTGTCATTGGATACTCTGACCAATGCATATTTTATTTATAGTTAATAATAATTGGGAGAGCGAGCGTTTTTTTAGCGCATTTCCACAAAAATAAAAAAAATGAGCTATTGTGGCCACTTTGTCCGTCCGTCCGTCCGCTCGTTCGTTGCGACGCTACTAGCTCTTTATCTTAAGAGTTATTGTTCTACTTTTTTCGCTATTTGGTTCGTTATGGTGTCGAGGCTTGCACCAAGGAAGGATTTTTTCCTGCGTTTATTGCTAAAAAAGTTATTGTAAAAAAACCAAAAAAACCGTTTTTACATGTTCCATAATTTTACACTTTTGCCGTTTATTAACGATCCTAGAGATCGTTTATAAGTTTGTATTGCTGTCTGTCCCTCTATCTGTCCGTGTAAACGATAACTTTGTTTAGAAATGTCCGATCGCTTTGACATCTCCGTTAGTTATGAACTGAATTGCATGAAATTCAATATGGGCAGGGCATAGCTTTAGCCATATAATACGCAATGCCAAAAGTTGAGTCGAATCGATTCAAAATTCACAGTGCCCTTTTCGCATTTCGACCATTTATAAATCGAATTGCAAACTTTTTTATTTATAAAGGTATTTAAAGGAAATTTTTGATACAGAGCCACTTAGAATAAAGGAAAATCGAACACCTGTTTCAATATTTGGTTTTGCGCATGCGCAGTTCCAACTTTTTTATTTATGGAAGCATTTAAATGAAATAATTCCAAAACCCGAAACACCAAGTGAGATCCTTAGGCAGACATTGACAAAATTAGTTACCAAGAACCGTTACGACAGAGTCCTTTACACTGACGCTTCGAAAAGCGAACTTAGCGTCGGTCGTTCAGTTGTCAATAGCGATGACATCATTAGGTGCATCTCACTGCCAATCACTACCAGCATCCACACTGGAGAACTATACGGCATCCTAGAAGCCATAAATACCCTAACACCAAGATACACCAAGGTAGCAGTATGTACAGATTCCCTGGCTTCTATACATTCGCTCAAAGATGTATACACCCAAAATCCGCTCGTGCAATCCATTCACGAATCCATCAGGGCGTATCCATAACTCTGGTATGGACACCTTCACATGTTGGGATTTCCGGAAATGAGGCAGCAGATCGTGCCGCAAAGGCTGAACAGGATCCAAAAAAACATCCAACTTTCCACAGACTTAAAAGAGTTCTATAAGAGCCACATACGCAAAACCTGGCAGACGCACTGGAACAGTGTTCACTCAAAACTTCACGAGATCAATCCAACAGTAAAGCCATTTAAAGCTGCCCCCATGTCCAGGAAAAGTAAAATTATCATCCGAAGACTGCGAATCGGACACACAAGATTAACTCACATGCATCTCTTAACCTCCGATCCTCCACCCGTCTGTGAACACTGCAACAATCCACTGACACTGCAACAATCCACTGACTATAAAACATATCCTTATCGATTGCGAACATCATGCAAATACTCGACGCTTCCACACACTGAAGAACAGCTTAAATGAAATTCTAAACTAAAAATACGAGCGCAAATGTCTACTTTGGATATCGATTGTAGAAAAACATACGTGGATCTATTACTCGTTTAGAAATTAGTCGGATTATACTCGTACATATATCTCACAACTTAAATTTGAAACAGCTATAATTATTTTATTTTATACTTCATGCAACAAAATTTTTCCAACCGACCATACCCTGAATTGTATGAGAATTCTACAGCCAATCGATAATGTTACCATTGGAATTCCCGCTAAAAATCTGATGGAATATATAAAAAAGGAATAGAATTTTTAAAGCTGAAAAAATGTCAAGGTTCTGCCGAGACAAATATCGTTCATGATGGTATAAAGAATTTAGCTGTTTGATTGGAGTGAACGAGATGTGTCATTTTTAGGCAGGGTTTTCAATTGGCCTTTATTCTTTAATAGTTTTTTGCGTCTAGCGAGCGTGCTAGGCATGTAAAGCCAATGTGAAATTTGCTGAACTTGCAGGTTTTGAATTAAGCGGAAAGACCAAAAAACCGTTCTGTGATTGGTAATAAGAACGAAACTAACCAATAAATTTTTTAAAATAATTCACCATTGTGGAGGTAGAAAATTTTACTCAGTACTCAGTAGGGTTGAAAAAATAGATAGAAGATGGAATCTCTTAGCCATCGGGGAGAGATCACAGGGTTTCAATTAAAAGGGAATTTAAATTTTTCAGTGGTAAACATTTTGAATTAGTTATCGTATTTTCCGAACGTTAGTATCGAATCCTAAGGGTAGTTCGGGATAAGGGAAATTTGCCGTACAAAATTTTACGTCAAGAGAAGTTGCATTTTTAATATACACAGAAGGATTACCTCGAAGATTACCTACTATCATAAAACGGAGAGAAAATTTCAAATTCTTTAAACGTCAAGTTGCAGACCAACATTCATAAAGACTTCACACGGAAGTAAATGTGTGGAGCCAGCCAATTTTTGAATACGAGAAAAACTGCGTCGGATTCGTAGCACATTAACAAACTAATAATTAAATCGTACATAAAAGTAGCTAAATTCTAATTAATTTACTGTCAATATTTTCAAAAATAAACTCAATCCGATTGGTGGATGATTATAACCACAATTTGGAGCAAGTGCTTAGTGGGGAGTTTCCAGGAGTAATAAACAGTAATAAAGTTCAGCAAAAACGTAGTTACCTACGTCCGCAGATCACATTTTTTAAGTTTATCCCTCGGTTTATCCTTACTCACAAATAAGAGACAAACACCGAAATCGAGCCATTGTAATCAAACAAAAAATCCCTTTCAAGTAATAACCTACCAGAAGAATTCATTATCGGCGGGGTTCCAAATTGTAGCCTGAAGAGCTGGCAGAAGCAAGAAAAATTACGCTACGTTGATTATATTAAGAGGCACAGCGGACATACCACAACAAGTATAAATTGTGCACAACCCTTGTGCAGGTAGAGTGCATTTGCATTTTTCTCGCAAGAAAACATCTGATAACATCTTTGCTATAACCATCAAGCTGTATATGTTAAGAAACTCGATCTTATCCATGAATGAGACGACCAGTAGTCTAAGATTAGATTAGTTCCATTTATTTTTGTAGTACCTATTTAAAGAAAATATTGAATACCTTTAAGATTTAATGTAGATGGAATTTGTATAATATTTAAAGTAAAGCTTTGAGTAACTGGTCTTAAAGGATTCAATCAATTTTAAATGCTTGATATAAATAATAACCTGTAAACTGAAGAGTCCGTTAAATTAAAGTGTAGAATCAAGTTTCGTTCAAGAATTTAAGCTTGTATCCCATAATTTCAATATTTCAATCAGACAAACTCAAGGGTTCATTATTTATTGTCGAGTCTGTCTTATTAAAATGTGAATAAAAATTGGTTTTGTTGTTATGGTGTCCAATTTGAGGATTTAAATTATTTACTATAAATTAAAAAATGAAATGGCCACTTCAATTGAGATTACGTTAAAAGGTTTTACCAAAAAGTCTACGTATTAAAAAATTTCATTGTATTAAAGACAGGTGCATGTGGAACGGTGAGGTGGAAAAGAGTTGTACAAATTTTGTAGTAAGTTTCAGAGAACATAATAGAAATTAAGCTAGGCGACGGCACATATTTTAGTCTAGTAGTATAGGTAGGTACAGTTTTAGTTCGAAATTCCAAAACTTCGTTACACGAAGGGAAGTTTCAACACTTTATAGCAACAAAGATCGTTCCATTTCGGCCTTCAGAGTAACTAAAAAAACACCCCGTAGAGAATTAGTTAGCATTTAAGATAAGTTATACGGAGATTAAGTAACAACGTCTGCAAATTGTTTTTTTAAAGATTACTTTAAATTTATTACGAGAAATCAAAAACAAACTATAAGGTAGGCACAGAACTTTAGCGGGTGGTCTACCAATTGTAACTTTAGGGTATGGTTGAGGGTACGGTTTATTGCACAGATTATAGTAAGGTAAGGTAAAATAAGTGCTAATATAAATATCATCTATTATAATTACAAAAATTTGGACTTAAGTAGTTTGGTACGCGCTTTTTAAAGACAATTTTATATGATTAAAAATTTTAAGAAAACCCTATCGAAGGAGGTGTTCTCAAAAGTCGGTTGGAACGTCTGGTCAAGACATATTTACTGGCGATGTGAAAACTTATGTGTAAATATTCCGAAAATGAAGTCTCGAAGGAGGAACCTAGAAAGGAAAGATGCAATATTGCGGAGAATTGAAAATAATATTTAACGTCAACATATTAAGAATAATAGAAACACGTTTGGCATTTCAAAATCGCGTCCTGCCATCGATCTAAACCCATTCTAGCTTTTCCCTAGGAAAATTCCAGTTTTTCCAGGTCTTTTGACGTTGGAGAACAAATCTGAAATCTCAGATGTCTTGTATGTAAACATAAGATTGAATTAAAAAAATTGCGTTATTTATAACGATTTACTTGAAGTTCCACTTTTTCCAGGATATCCCGGCTATCCCACTAGGAAGGTCGTGGAAGTTTTTCTCACATTTCTATACGTAGGTATTCTTTACAGTTTTTTTTCTAATTGATAAGTCTACCTCCCACGTTTCAAAATAAGCATCTGCTAAAACACTTCTCCTACAAATACAAATCAAACTGCAGACAATTATTAAAACAACAAGGTTGATTCTTTTCGCAATTACAGGAAACTTTATTTTTCGTTTGTTTATGCTGTAACGAAGTACTTTATTACTAAAGTCACGATGTAGTAATAAACCTAGGTACATAAGAAATGTGACTAATACCATGGAATATATTTACTCAACTATTTGACTCAACGCTAATACTAACCTGGCCGGTATCCTTGTCAAATTTGTATAATCGTATTCCAGGATTGTTTGGGCCATCGGATGTTCTTCTTGGAGTAACGGATGGTGCCAACATTGCCCAAGAGACCGCTCTGCCTGAAAACATAGCACTATAGAATACAGTTAATTTAGTTTTACAGGATATTTATAAAATTAGTCTATGAAGTTATGAGAAAAAAGTCACGTTCAATACATCTTCGAAACGGAATTTATTTCGATGAGACCTTTCATTAGAATACCGTGAAGGGTAGAACATGTGTTAACCCCCTCCCCCTTTCCCCTCGCCATTTTCTAAAGTTTAACTTCGCACTACTAAAGGCATGCGTATGCAAAATCTGAGACCAATTGGTTGTCGTATGTAAAAGCTATGCACGTTTTACTTTCAAAAAAAGCATCTCAGGAAATAATTCTTGGGGGGGGGGGCCCTTTTAGACAGCGACCTACTGCAAAAAATTCCAGGACTCTAGCTAGGACCATTCGCCTACAAGTAAGTAGTTCAAAATGGTAGAAGTAGGTGCGGACGGACGGACGGACAGAACGCGAATAATAGCACATTTTTTTTTAATTCTTAAAAAATGCGCTAAAATAAAATAAAAATACTTTCTCTTTGCCACTTTTTGGACTATACAAGACAACGTTGAGAGATTTTCAATACAACGTTTATCATCATCAACTTTATTTATTTATATGGTATTGAGTAGCATTTTTAGCGCATTTTTTAAGAGTTAAAAAAATGTGCTATTACATTTTGTCCGTCCGTCCGGACCCACTTCTGCCGTTTCGAACTACTTCTAGGGGAATGGTCTTAGAGTCCAGGAATTTTTTGCAGTAGGTAGCCTATACCTTGAAGGTGTGCCAGACGGCGATCAAATTTCGCTGTCTAAAAGGGCCCCCTCCTCCCCCACGAATTATTTCCTGAGATTCTGTTTTTGAAAGTAAAACGTGCACAACTTTTACATACGACAACCAATTGATCTCAGATTTTGCATACGCAGGCTTTTAGTGGTGCCAAGTTAAACTTTAGAATGTCGGAAGAGGATACTCACAAAGGGCGATTGAGACGTCTGCAAGAAATTATCCATTGGTCAAAACAAAAGTTATTTCGGTTAAAAAAATGCGTTTTATCTGCAGTTGTGCACAATTTATACTTGTTTGTTCTGATACCGCTATCCCTCCTTAGTTAATTGTTATTCGCCGTTTAATTTTTTAATTGATATTTCCTTAAAAACAAAAAACCAAATTTGTAAAGGGTATACCTTATACCTTTGGTTGTATTAAATAGAAAAAAAATTCATTTTGTTTTTTATTGATCGCTATCTGGCGTGATACCATGATATTGCAATACTACATGTTAAGTTGTAGTATCTTGGCGTGATACAATGGCAGCACAAGGAGATATGTTGTGTTTTAAATCTTCAATTCAATCATAATATGTCAGTTTGGCATCATTGCGGTGGGGAACAGTTATCGAAGAATGTCACAAATTAGTAAGAGAGGCAATTAGTCCATAACACCCCATACTGTTGCGTCTTACAAATTTTCATTAAATAACATAAAAAGCGTTTTAAAAAAATGCAATTTTGGTGTGCCACGACTTTATGACCAACGCTGTACAATTAAAATTATTACTGCCTAGTAGATATTAAAGAACCCCAAAACTTTTGCAAAGAACTTTGTTTCCATTATATTGTACATTTTCCCGATAATCGACAGTTTCCAGACTTATCAGCGACCCTGTGTATATTTTAACCTTGCTCTAATTAGAGATGCACTCCGATCTCTTGTCTTAAGATTATGTGTGTAGTAGTGTATTTTATACATTGTAATGATTTGCCCTTATTTTAACCCTGACCCTGAAATCCAGAAACGAAATTTTGTAATCAAATTGAATTGAATCAAATAACCGCATGACTTTATTTATAAGTTAAGAGAAATGGGATTTTAAAGCTTTCGCTGTTTTAAATGAAAAATGTTGCAATTTCACAGTTAAATCACAGGCAGCATTATACGATGAATTGAAATGGCTTGAAATGTAATTGTTCAGTTCCTCAATTGTGGCCTGCCGCAAATCGAATCGAATTTCATTAACCGCACTTTTAGGTTACGTCGTTTGTGTAAAAGTTGATAGAACCTCACAAAAGTTTGTAGAATTTAAATGAACTTTACATAATTTACCTATTTTCATTAGTTACAATTATACGGTAATGACAATTTGCTCGTAAACCTTAACACAATTGCCATAAGAGTTGAAGACAAAATCTAAGTGTATGTATAAAATGTTGATTTAAAATTGGAAGTAAGTTTAACATGAAACGCTTAAAGAACTGGAAAATCGGAATTTAGTTAACCAAGTTAAGTTTCGATTTTTAATTGTTTTTTTTACTCATCAGCAAAGATGTAATGGAAGTGAACAAAAAGGTGTAAAACCTTTGATCAACTTTTTCTAGAGTAATCAAAAGTTAGAAAACCGTCGTCGTACTTTCCATTAAGGCGCCTTTTAAATCCGTTTTTAATGCCTGTTCGGAATCGATTGTGGTTTGAAGCGGTAGGTTATTCGTAGGTACTTTCTTCTTAGTTCTCGTAATCTTTATATAAACCTCGATAGAGAATGGTAAGTAGTGCAATTTCCAAAAACATTTATAAATTACAATTTGAAAATGGATTGGAGAGGATTACACAAATCTGCATTTAATCTACTAGATTGATGAAAAGTTTAGTGTACCCACGATACGAATTACGAGTGTATCGTGAGTGTACCTATAATAATAGTAGTGGGGTGACTTCATTTTGTGCACATGAATTCTATTATTTGCGCGATCGTAAGGGGAATTAATCCATAGTGTTTCATGTATAACATTTTAACATTTGTGTTTCTACCGATAAAATCACTACATACTAGCAAAACCGGAATAAACAGACATGTACGATGTGGTCATTGGAGCAATACACCATAGGTGAAGGGGGTAAAATCATTATACATGCATTGTAATTTCCCTATGTTCGATTAAAAAAAAAACACATCAATCTATGAGGCGTGCGCGGTTCACATTCCCAAAACGCGCAACTTGTGCGACTATGAACAGCAACTCATAGTATTTATTATGAAGAGCACTCGGTAAGATTTTTTTAAATAAGCCATGTGAGGCCATAGCAACTTTAGGATACATTTTTCTTAAACTTACGAAAACTTGACTTACATGGCACGCGCTGACATCACAGTTCATTGTGAACCAACCTTCAATTATTTGTAGGTCATGTGCACCTGGTATTCTACTAATTTGATCTATTCAATATATAAATGAAGAAAATAAAAAAAAAACATAACGAAAACAATTACAATAAATGTTCGAAGTGTCCTCTTAGACCATATAGTGCATGGACTGCTAATTGTAACGAAAATATGGTCAAGGACATCGCCTGGGTATGTGAGTTTCAGGGTAAACGAGTCTGTCCGAAGTTGTGCGATTAGACACGATTTGAGACTGTCAACCTATAAATTAACAAACGTCAATTAATTATTCGCCTAGATATGCCAAAAAAGCAAACCTATCCGTATTTGTGGACGTATAGTAAATAATGAAGAGTATTTAAAGCTTCCCGCACTACGCGGTTCCCATAAAAGCTACTCTTTACGCGATCCGAGTGGTGTTCATACGACTTTAGTTTACCCTGAGATTCACATACCCACGACTACAGTGCCCTCTATCCGTGACCACCCATTTTGTATTGAAAGCATAGGGATAATAGCAGTCCATGTACTATATGGTCTAAGAGTGTCCTCCTTGACATTCTAAGCATTAACCTAACCTATTTCGTACTTAAATTGGCCGGCGGTATTTTTAAAAATGTGACAGCTGTCAATTGTATCTACTACTCATTTGAACTGCTCAATAGATTGATGTGTTTTTTTAGAAATCGAACATAGGGAAATTACATTGCACACAAATTCCTATGTTCGCATTTAAAAAAAATTCACTGTATATATTATACCTTATAATACGGCCACGCAATCGCTTATTTGGGGGTTAGGAGCTTAGTTACAATAACGTGAAAATGTGAAAATATAGAAACCTTTTCACACGTATTCGAAACTCTGCACAGTTAAGCAGTATCCCAGAGAGACAAAAAATATTAATTTGATAAGCCAGTAATTCAGGAACTTAAACTTTTGGATATAATTTTCAAATCTGGAAAAGACTTTCTTCTAAGTAAGTAATCACAGGAGCTATACCCTGTGTCCAAGATGAGGATGTCTATCATGGGGATCTTGGAAACCATAGAAGATACGACGATGGTCAAACTAGGGAAAACTTGCCCAATTAAAGAGTTATTATCATGCTCTAAAAAAAACCAGAAAATTCCGCTTACTTCCGGAGATATTCGAGAACAACGGAAATTGGCCAACTTCGTTTTTATTTTTTGTTGTTAGTTGAACAGATACAAAAAAATAAAGAGAACTTTCTCATTATTATTATTATGGTCAGTGCTTCTTGTCAGAACTCAGGTCTAGCTTGGTTAACTAATCGCACGGATTAAAATCTAATAAGGATTGGTGTTTATCTGTACGTCATTCGTCTAGTTTAGTCCTAAATGCTATAATTAAAAAAAATAAAAATAAAATAGAATAAGATAAAATAGTAATAATAATTTAAAAAAAAGTAACATAAAAAAAATAGAAACACACATATTTGTTGTAAATATGATCACAATGCATTATTATACATGTAATATAGACACAGCCATTATGTTCAGTGTGAAGTTAGTCGTAGTTGTACTTGTCTGTAAAAATGATGTCATGACGTCTCGTCAGTTGTCCATACATTTTAATGTGTAATAAATGAGTGCCAATACTTTGTTCATGTCTTTTGCTTGGAAACGCTGCCGCTAATCAACAGGTTATGGGCCCAGAGCCAACACCAGGACCAGGACAAATACTTCAATAAATCTAAGTAAAAGATCCATATCTGAAATTTTTTGTTGTAGTCGCCATTGTCTTTAACTCGCTACAAAATGAGTGAAGAGCAGACACATTTGCCAATTCTACCTTACCAAAGGCGTAAAGGCAGAGAAAATTATCAGGACTGGAAATTTCAAAT